CTCTTTCTCTTCTCTCTCTCTCTCTTTCTGCCTCTCTCTCTTTCTGTCCATCTCTTTCTCTGTCTCTCTCTGTCTCTCTTTCTCTGTCTTTCTGTTTCTCATTCTCTGTCCCTCTCTTTCTCTTTCTCTGCCTCTTTCTCTCTCTTTCTGTCCCTCTCTCACTCTCTCCCTCACCCTCCCTGTATCATTCTCTCATTCTCTTTCTGTCTGCCCCTCTCTTTCCCTTTTTTCTTTCTCTCTCTCTCCATCTCAGTCTCAAAAGACAAAAACTTCTACTAGAGGTGAAACATTTATTTTGTGGAATAAACTTTGGTCAGGTCAACCTCACAGCAATAGAAATGAAATTTGCAGTTGATATGTCAACTCAAGGATGTCTTTCTCAGACTTGTGAATTTTAAGATAAGTAACATTTTTTCTTCACTTCTTCAGACAAGACAAGTGTGATACACTGAAGAAGAAGAGGTCCCCAGAAGACATCATGAAGATTGCATCATCGATAGAAACTGAGCTGCACAAACTTTACAACGACACGGGGACCAGATACAAGTCCAAGTACCGCAGCCTCATGTTCAACTTAAAGGATGCCAGGAACACAGTATGTCATTTTTTTTTACTTCTGGGAACAGATGTATAATTGTTTTGTTAGGGTTTGTCTGTGAGTTTGTGTGTATGTTTTTCTGGATAGTATACAATGTACATGTAGGTTGACAGCATGTGGACTTGAAAAGATTGACAGAATGACAGGTGGATAAAAGATCAGACACTGGAAATGGGGTGAACTCCAGTGTCTCCAGATCTGTCCAGAAGCCAGCAGAATTAGAGGGGAATTCAGGAAGCCAAGGATTGCATGAGTGACCCTCCAATCCTGCACAGTGTTTGTCCTAGTTTTGGTTAAAGTACATCTACAATCTCCAAGAAAATCCCAAATACATGTGCGTACTGGAAGTCTGAAATATCTGATTTCTCATTAATAGTGATGTCTTCTGAAGGTTTACATATCTTTCCTTTCAGACACTGTTTAAGAGGGTCCTGACAGGAGAAATCCGGCCCCACAAACTGGTGAAGATGTCACCAGAGGAGCTGGCCTGTAAAGAACTGGCACAGTGGAGGGACAGGGAGACCAAACATGTGAGTCTGAAAACACTTATAGGAGACCTAACATGTACACTGTATATCATCTTATGAAATGCTTACATGGGAACAATACTATACAGTAACTGAAAACAGATGGCAAATGGATTTTTAATATACAATTTTTCTTTTTTTCCAGACCCTTGAGATGATTGTGAAGAAAGAGCAGGAAGATGCTCAGATGGAGAAGCATTTGACCAAGAAAACTCATAAGGTAAAAATGTACAAATGTAATCAAAACATGTCGGGGTGCTACCTTGGGTGATACATATATTTACATGATTACCATAGATGGTTTCAGATTTTGCGAATCATGTTATGTGGCCTGTATATTTTGTACAACTGTGACAATCATACATCATTTGTTATTTCCTACAATAATGCAAACCTTTTTCTGCACCATCTACAGGGAGAGATTGAGATAGATGATGATCTTGGGGAGCTGAAAACTGAGGTTTGTCCTGAACATTGTCTGTTTGCTTCTTGAAGTCGAAAAGGTGACAAAATTATTGTTGGTTGCAATACATCATGAATTGTAACCAACGATGATTTTGACACCGTTTCAACATTTAGAGTGTCAGGTCTCTGCAACTAGCCCAAAGTATAAGACAAGTATACGAGCACTTGCCATGGCATCACAACCAGCAGGTTGTAAGCAAAAAGTGGGTGACAGCTGATTAATTTGCCTACCAATAATTTGCATAAGGTCTTGGAATGCTTTGCATGTATATGATGTAAACAAAAATATTGATTGCTGGAATAGCACCTACTAATAGTAACTGTTGTTTTATTTCCATCTCTTCTGCTAGAAATCAGACGAGAAAGAAGAAGTGTACACCTTTGCAAGATTTAGAGTATCAGGGCTACACAACTAGCCCCAAAATACTAGATATACTGACTAAATAGTTGTTTTATTTCCATCCCTCCTACTAGAAATCAGATGAGAAAGAGGAGGTGTACCTGCCCCCAGCAGCAGAGACAGCGGAGGGTCCTGACGTCCTGTCCACCATGTTAGTGGACACCACAGAACAACACAGAGCTCATCTCTTCGACCTGAACTGTAAAATCTGTACAGGCAGAATGGCTCCTCCTACTGATGAACAACCTGCCAAGAAAGTCAAGGTAAATCGATGAATGTTAGTCATGCAGGTAATGAAATACACAAGGAAACTGTTACTCAGGCAACTAGAGTTCTCTCTCTATCCGGTTTAACGTCTGTTGTTCCCCGTGTTCCGAGGGTTAAACATGCTTGCACTCTGATGCTGGGGCTTGATGTTAGCTCACCATTTGCCTCTGTCCTGTGGTTCTAGATAGATTTTGAAAACTGTCAGGGGTTTCAAGTAGTATCCACTACCTTTCGTTGTGGATGCGAATTGAAACATTAATTATTTTGACAGTTTTTAAAAGCCAGTTGCTGCAGTAACAATTGTCTTGTGTAAAGTTGAGGTGAGTTTTTACCTCCATGTACATGTACATGTATTGATGTTTTGTTTTCAGTGTGTTTGTGTGTGTGTTTTCTTGTGTAGTTAATTCCACATGCTATGTGTTGGCAGGTTGCTAAGACAGTGATTGAGGCATCCTCCACCACCAAACCTGAGGAGAGCAGTACCGGGGAGTCACCGGGACCAACTGTGGACACAACTACAGGAAGGTAAATAGATATCTCCATAAACAATAAACAAAAACCACTAGATTATAGTAGATACTGTACAATCATTTTTGCAGGGTATGAGCGGAAATGAGGTTTTTGTTTAGTTTTATCTGAGTGTCTATTTCTAAAGTATAAATTCATTAGAATTGCATATTCATCAATTCACAGTGGAGAGATTACTGCAAAAACTGTGAAATTAAAACCACCACAAAACTTTAAAATTTACAGTTGTCAAAAACTCTACAGCAAAATATTTATAACTAGAAAGTAGGAATCAAAAATGTACATAAATTCTAATAGTGTAGCTACAATTCCTTAAGTCTTCCAAAAGTGTGTCTGGTGTTGCTAAAGATAGAATAATACACAAAGCATGAGTAACAGTGAACTACTTTATTCTAGCCCAACTCCACCTCTTGTGCAGTCAGACACAGAGGAAAGGTGAGTACAAAAATGTAGATGGCTGACAAAAAATCACTGCTGAAGACTCAAACATCTCTATATGCTTGTGGCAGTGTAAAAACTATCTATATCAGTGTGACTGTTAGTGAATAACACCTTTTGTGACCAAAAATTTGAGTGATTGCTCAATAAATTTAGAAAGTGGTGCTCACATGCAGTTAGCTTGCTTAATCTTTCTGGGTGTTGGCTGGAAAAGGAAGAATTGTAGAATCTTACAAAGTTAAAAAAATTGAAGCAAAGTTCTTAATTCAAACCACTTTGCACCAGTAACATTTAGCCTCTGTGAACCAGTCATAATTGCCCTGACAGTCATCCAAATGTTGACTCCTGTTGAACAAGTGGTTATGAACAAAGAACTTTGCTACTCAATCATTCACCACCCCATGAAATTTTTTCACAAAGGTTCTAAAAAAGTTGTTTTCTTCCACAGTTCCCCCGACTCTGCCATGCCTTCTCAGTCAGAGTTGTCAGCGTCAAAGGAGCCATCAGTTTGGAAAGGGTTCATCAAAATGGAACAGCTGACGAAGTTTGTGACGCACGCCTACCCTGTGTCAGGCAGTATGGAGGACATACAGGAGGTGAGAGGGGGAATCTGGGCCACGAATCAGCTGCTACTTTTACAGTAACAGTTGGCCAGTAAAGATGGCCTGAATCTGTTTTCAAATCTGTGGATACTTTTAATGTGCGTGGACTTGTCTGTGTGGAAATCAATTGCTATGTTCTTTTTTTCTTAGCATTGTAGTTTCATTGTGATTACAAGTTTTAAACTTTATTCTTTTTTGATCTGTTTATTTAGGACTTGCCTGACACCATCATGATTTCTGGGAGAATCTCTCACAGCCATATCTGGGAGTACCTGGACAAGATCAAATCAAGTGGGAACAAGGTATGGAAATTTTATTGCAGCATGAAAGTTTGTATCTGTCTAGTAGTAGTAATATTAACTTCAAGTATTATACTGCCGGGGTTCCAGACATAGGAATGGGCAGTATTAGGCCGGTCTACTACACCATGTTTCCAAGCAGCTCTTCTCAGCGGATTCACACTGGCAAGGCTGCAATCTCTAATTTTCTTTCTTGCTTAATGTTAGTCTATTGCAATGAAGTGCTCTGAAACAAAGTCCACATTTATAAAATGATGGTTCTTTCCTGAATAAAGAGAGACAACACTTTTTACACAACCATGTGTTTTCTTCATGTTTTCATGACTGTCTGTCACCTTCCTCAGGGCAATTATGACTGGTACACGTTGCACAGCTTGCCTGTAAGAAGAGTCTTTTTATTCAGTGACTTACCAACCTGATGAAACTATTAACGGATGTTTTTTTTTACCTTTTAGGAGATCTCTATAATCCGGTTCCAGCCAGCTGTAGATGAGGAGAAGGTTGGGTACATCATGCTGTACTCATACTTCCACAGCAGACAGCGCTTTGGCGTGGTGGGGAACAACTCACGGCAGGTTAAGGACATGTACCTGATACCGCTGCCTTCTCACGAGGAGGTGCCCTACCAGCTCAAACCTTTCGATGGACCAGGTATGATTATCATCATTAGTTAGTAAGTTAGTTAGCCATTAGTTAATAAGTTACTTAATAAGTTAAGTTAGTTAACAGTTCAAAGACATGTACCTGATACCACTGCCCTCTCACGAGGAAGTGCCATACCAGCTCAAACCTTTCGATGGACCAGGTACAGTTATCGTTGTTGGTTAGTTAGTGTTATCGTCCCCCTTAGTTAGTTAAATGGGTTAAGGACATGTACCTGATACCCCTGCCTTCTCATGAGGAGGTGCCCTACCAGCTCAAACCTTTCGATGGGCCAGGTACGGTTGTCGTCATCAGTTAGTTAATTAATTAGTTGATAAGTTAATAAGTTAGTTAACAGGTTAAGGACATGTACCTGATACCACTGCCTTCACACGAGGAGGTGCCATACCAGCTCAAACCTTTCGATGGGCCAGGTACAGTTATCATCATTAGTTAATTAATAAGTTAACAGGTTAATTGATAGGTTAGTTAACAAGTTAAAGATATGTACCTGATACCACTGCCATCACACGAGGAGGTGCCCTACCAACTCAAGCCTTTCGATGGACCAGGTATGGTTATCATCATTAGTTAGTTATTGATTTAGTTAATAAGTTAGTATTAGTTAATAGTTAACAGGTTAAGGACATGTACCTGATACCGCTGCCTTCTCATGAGGAGGTGCCATACCAGCTGAAACCTTTCGATGGACCAGGTACGGTTGTCATTGTTAGTTAGTTAATTAGTTGATAAGTTAATAAGTTAGTTAACAGGTTAAGGACATGTACCTGATACCCCTGCCTTCTCACGAGGAAGTCCCCTACCAGCTCAAACCCTTTGATGGACCAGGTACAGTTATGGTCATTAGTTAATTAGTTGATAAGTTAATAAGTTAGTTAATGGGTCAAGGACATGTACCTGATACCACTGCCATCACATGAGGAGGTGCCCTACCAGCTCAAACCCTTCGATGGACCAGGTATGGTTATTCGAATGAAAGCTCATCAGTGTTGGTAGGAGCCATAGTGGTAAAGTTTAACTTTGTTCCAACACAAAAGAAAGAACTTACAGCATTATGTATTACCATGGAATAATGACAATAAACATGCCCATGTGTGAATTTTGTTCCAACACGAAAAAAAGAACTCACTGTGAATTTTTGGTCACAAAATTTGTCAGATGAATGGTCCACAGTGCTAACTGTCTGGAATCTGGAAGTGTGGTGGCATCAGGAGTGAATAGAAAGTGGCTGGAATATGGAATCTCAAACTGTCACGGTGCAGATGTCATCTTCCAGCCACTTATGATAAACTCCCACCATGTTCTACCTTTTATTCTAAGTCTTGGAACATTGTGTGTTAGCCAAATAGAAGCTTGTGTGATATGGCTAGTTATCGCACGAGCCAGAACACCCTATCAACCATTATCATAGCCCAGGTATGATATGAATTTTATCATTATATCTTCTTGTTGTTCCAGGACTAGAGGAGCCGAGACCACACATGCTGCTGGGTCTCATCATTCGGAACCGCTCGGCGAAGCGGTCGGCGAGTTCCAGCTCCGAGTCCACGCCGCTCCACGTGCCGAGCCCGAAACACCGACGCTACAGCGAGATATCCGGCACGCCTCCCTCTGCCTCCTCTCCCTCCGCGTCTGGGACTAAACACAGACACCATCACCATCATCATCATCATCACTCCAGGCGACATGAGCACGAGAAAAAGGTACGGTATGAATGGTTGAGTAAAGTCTACTAAAGAGACTCTTTTTACACAACCAAGTCTTTTATTCAGTCCATGTTTCAGTGACCATCTGTCACCTTCCTCAGGACAGTTCTGACTGGTGCACACTGCACTCTAGATGCATTCCCAAATGTACAACATTTACATATCTACACATATACATGGTTACAGGGAACTGTATCTACAATGCAGTCCCAGATGTACAGGGGTTGGATATGTACATAATTGTGGTCAGTTATTAAACAAAAGCAGTTACAGAGAACAGATTTCACAATACCAGTCCTATATTCTACAGACAACATTTACTTGTATTGTGTACTGTGTATTGCCCTTGTGAGATGTACTATGGTATGATCAATGATGTGTTAAAGTTATATAGGATCTAGGAAAAGTATTATAATCTGGATTGTTTACTAGTATTTCTCTGCAATTCATAGCTACATAAGATTGCTGGGTTGGAAGCAATGACACCTTGCAGTATTTTAGATGATACTATGGTTCATACTGTACTGTACACTTCATACTGTACTTTGGAAGAAAGTATCTTGATGTTCTGAAATATATTTTTATTCTCAATATCTGACTTAAAGCCACAAGTGGAACAAAAGAAGGAAGAGCCCAAGGTAAAACATAAGTACTTGTCTCTGCACCTGAACTGGTTGTGTTTTGAGTTGAAATCAGTTTGGACATAACAGTTTCCTTTTGTAGCAGGCAATTCTACTGACAAGTAAGACCCAATGTTATACATGGTTTCTAACTTTTTTTTTCTATAGTTTCAGAAGTTACCCTGTTTCTATATACACATGCATATGCACAACCATTGTTTATTCCTGCAATAATGATAGTGTTTTTTAATGTGTATTGGGTATTGGGTTGTTTACTAGTAACTGTTGGTTGTAGCCAAGAAATGTATGATTGAAATGATTGATTTGAATGTTGTTGGCAGTTGGATTGTTTCCACATGTTCCTTTTTTGTTTTCAAGGTTTTGATGGTTCTCCCAATTTTTCATCACACAAAAAAATGTTAACAAATGAATGTATTTGTGTACAACTTCAAAAACTTCAAAGCAGGTGTTCACCTTAAAGTTTGAAGAAAGTTTGATGTATAATTTTTTACGCTTTTCTACAGAGAAAGAGTGAGGCAGCCACCCCAGTTCCTGCTAAGAAGGTGTACACGATACCAGAACACGAGATCAGCGATCCAATTGTCAAGCAGTATGCAAATGTGGACCCATCGGCACTGATCGCAAGGTATACAATCAATAAAATTCAATATTGATTCAAAAGGCCCAAGGGCTATACAATGTAGAAGTCCACACCATAGGATTGACTCACATGTTGGCAGAATGACAGTGGTTCGTTTCTGGTGTTTGTCTGCTTGTTTAGTTGTGTGTCCTCACGTATTGGAAAACAGTAGGGTAACAGAATCTGAAGGGGGAAATGGTGTAACCACAGCCTGGCACAAAAGTCTGTATGCTGTGAGGAAGTCAGTGAACGGTAAAAACTAGAAGGTTAGCTCATTTCCTGACTACAGTTTCCAGATATACTCATGTCTGTTGCTTCTTTTGGGTCAGTGCAGTTCCCAAAAGTGTACGATGTAGCCTTGCACTGAGCAAACTCGTTGAAAAAAAACAAAAAAACTTGTGAGTTTCTTGTTTTCAGCTGAAATGTTGTTTTTCCCCCCTCCCCAGAACGAGTCAGGATGAGATGGAGGAGATGCCGTACTCCCCCGGCCAGGCCGCGCAGGAGGAGGAGGAGGAACAACCGTACGACCCCGGCGACGAAGACTTCTTACCCGTCGAGGAGGGCGTCGAATCCCCCCCACCCCAGTCCCCGCCCGCACAGCACGACTCCGACTCTGACAGTGTGCTGGAGGCTGCGATTGGCCAGTCCGACTCCAACGAAGCCAGTGCTAGCCAATCGGAGCCGTCGTTAGATAACATCCTCATGACGCCGCTAGGGGACAACCCAACGCTTTCAGAGCAGCAGAGGCTGTTAATCGAGCTGACAAAACAAGTCGAGGAGCAGAAAAAACTCCTCCTCGAGCAACAAAAGAACTTAGAAAGCATCTGTAGTGGGCCAAACAGTGCTACTGGTAGTCCTGTGGTGGAATTTTCCACCTCCGGGGATGCAATAACTGTCTCAACTGTAGGAGAAAATGTCCGAGGTACAGCTTCCCAAGTCCAGACCACTGCTGCTCCCACAAAAATGGTCTCTTCCGCCACAACTTCGAGTACAAAAACTTCTGGTGCTGAGAAAAAGACTGGTACAGCTAGTGCTGCATCCACTGATGCAGACAGCAGCAAAGTGGAAGGGAGTGATAGTCCAGAGCTGCCCATGATTCCAGGACTAGGCGGAGATTTGACTCCGCCGGTAACAATTCCAGGCCTCGGAGGCTCGGATGCAGTAACTACAGCAGCATCTGGTACTTCAGTGTATTCAAGTGCGGTGCAAGGAAAGGTTGAGGAAAAGTCATCAAAGGAGAAGGTATCTGAGGCAGTGTCAATGCAAGCAAGCAGTGGGGCACCCACGGTTTCGACGAGTGGTTCCTTCGAGATCCCGGCGAACATTTCCGAGCTGTTACAGAAGGTGAGCTCAATCGTGAAACAGACGAGTCAGAGCCCTTCGACCACGGGGGTCACGCAACAGCCACTAGCGCAGCAGGCGACAATTCCACAGGCTGGGCTGTCTGGATACCTTCCCCAGATGTCGCAGATACCGAGTGCTGGCTTCCACCAGGCTCCCGGGCAAGCCACGCAAGCCGCCATTGGACAACAGCAGGTCCCAGGTGCGGCACAGCCAATGGGAAGCTTCGGTGGAACTTGGACAGCCAATCAGAGCGCAGTACTGCCTCCACAGGGTGAAGGGCAAGTTCGACCTGCGGGCCAACCGGCGCCGGCTGTGGGCGAAAGACGTTCCGACGAATCAGCTCGTGACCACAGCAGCCGGCCGCCCGGTCCTTTTCCAGGGTACGACCCTAGAAACGTGCAGAGGTTCGAGTATAACAACGAGCAACACGGCCGGCAGGTTCGCCGGGATTCGGGCGAGGACAGGGGCCACCACTCCAGTCGGGACAGGTGGCACGATCGCGGCAGCAGGGACGATCGGAGAGACAGTCGCCGCGACGACAGTCGCCACGACAACCACAGCAGAGAGGACCGCAGGGGGTCCCGGGACCATGGCTATGGTAGGGACAGAGACAGGGACAGGGATAGAGAGCGAGATCGGGACAGGGATAGGCACAGGCAGGATCGTAACAATCGGGACAGAGGCGGCAGGGGGAGCCAGTGGCAGGACAGCCACAGGAGGAGATAGAAATACAGACTTTGTTTATATCGTGCCAATAATTTCAGCTCAGTTGATAACTCGCACCAATAGTGTACTGTTAGTGTTAAACACTGGTTGTAAATCTACTTTGCATTGTTAAAATGTAAAAGTTGATAACTCGCACCAACAGTCTACTGTTACGCTCTAGTTGCGAAACTACTTTGCATTGCCATTGGTACAATGTAAAAGTTGATAACTCGCACCTACAGTCCACTGTTATTCACTGGTTGTACCGGTACAACTACTTTGCATTGCCATCGGTACAATGTAAAAAGTTGATAACTCTCACCAACAGTCTACTGTTTCGCAGTGGTTGTAAAACTACTTTGCATTGCCATTGGTACAATGTAGAAGTTGATAACTCGCACCTACAGTCTAATGTTACGCACTTGTAAAACTACTTTGCGTTCGTAAAAGTTAATGATCGTTAGAAATACTCGTGGAACAAGGGAACGTGGGAGCCATATGTGTCTGCCTGATATCAACGTAACTTTTATTTTTAGTTCTGTACAATTGTTACTAATGATGTATGATTCAGTGGTTGCACCAGTGTTTTGAAGCATTGTTTGTGACGACACAGAGATAGAGTAAGTATTATTACTCGGACCAATACCTTGTAGTATATTACTACAAGCTGCTATGTCGTGCTTTGCAAGTAAAATAGACGCGTCATAGTTGTAACATGTACACTTGTGAAGTTTTTAGTTTGTGATGTCAAGGGTTTATTAGTGTCTATCTTATGCAGTCGGACAATGCCAGAATTCAAAATCTGTACATACATGTATACTGGCTAGAAAGCCTGGGAATATTACTTTGCATATTCCAATGCATAATAACATGACATCTTTCTTTGGGTCACATTCATTGTAATATTGTCGTATGATCACCAACCAATGTCATTTTTTAATAAATGCATGTTTAGTACAAAGCCTGCTTAAAAATTCCTTGATATCAGAATCTTATGACAACCAACAGTGAATGTGGCCACACCATAATTTTTAGTTAAACCCTTCTGCTTGGTTCAAAACCATTGTGCAGTCTTGGCATACTATTACTAGTACATATTTAGGTGCACAACATTTAGTACTCAAAGCATATGTAGAAATCGAAAGTGTATTCGAACATTACATGTTTCTTTTTACCACAACAGATCTAGAATATAAATACATTTTCAAAGCCATGGTTTGATCTCAGTTTGTTGTGATGCAAACCCATATCAATGTTTTTTTTGTATAGATAGTCTTGCTAAGGTTGGTGTAAGATGAAGTATAGTGTTTTGGAGACTTTAATACTCATATGACGTACCCAACTGTGATAATGCAGAAAATGGACAACAGTTTGTTATGAATATATGACAACCTCTAACGTGCTCAGTATGTATGAAAAAAGGCTAACAAAGCTAGAACTGATCATGTCAGATGCAACCGGTACGTTGCTGAACATTAAGCTATAAGAAAAGGGACACGGGGGAGGGGGGCTATTTGAAGGGGCTATACTATTTGAAGGGGCTATACGTTAGCAGGTTAGATATATTGGGGAACGCCCAAGATACAAATATCAACGATGGAGATGAGAACGAACGAATACGATTGTCGGGCGTACGGCACCGTCACTGCATGTCAATCATTCACACATGAAAACACACAATTACACCAGAAGCAATCATCAGAAGTGACAGATGTATGTGTATACTACTCTGTACAATATATTACCACGTTTTTTTTTTACTATTTCAAAAACATGGTACCATATCACTAACAACATTCACGTTTTCATATGATACCCATTTTTAATAAATTTAAAGACTAGCCGTTCATTTTTTCCTGAGTGGTACCCGTGAAATGCTAGCTTTGGGGTCATGTGGCGTAATGGCAGAGTGCTCGACTCAGAACCAAGAGGTCCTGGGTTCGAGTCCTGACATGCCACCGATCTTGCGCCCTTGAGAAGGCACTTGACACAATTTTCCTCACTTAACTGGAAATGAGCATTGCCCTGTCCTGTATTTGTCATCTGCGTCGGTGGCGGCATAAAATAAGTTGAAATAACTTGAGTGTGCCGTCACCATGTCTAGTCATGAAATGTTGGAATAAAAGAAAATGGTAGGCAACAGCGACAAGTGCGTCAATGCTGGCGATGCTATGCGACCGTTACTACTGCGTCAGTGGACATGAATGCTTGTGCGCGATGCTCATTTCACAGAGCGAATTTAATGGCCCATAAAGACTTAACCTGTTGCACGCTAAAGCAGCCGTTTGGCTACCAGTTGTCTCGGTTACCGGGGAAGGCAGCAGGGAGAAGGTTAACCTCACATTTCTTCATTTCACAAAGCGAATTCAATGGCCTATGAAAAATATGGGCGTCAGCGATAAAGACTTAACCCTTACTACGCTGAAGCAGCCGTTTGGGTACCAGTTACCCTTGGTTACGGGGGAAGGCAGCAGGGAGAAGGTTAACTGCATTCCTTCAGTCGGTTCCTCCCGTGCGAGCGATGCAGTCTTGTGGGAACGCAGGTATTGAGACAGACGTTCTTACCACAAGCACGCGCATCGTACCACTAGGGACCTATCTATCATCCGCAGTGCCCAACAGGTGGTCTTTGCACTGTCAACGGCAGCAGTTTTTCTGTTACTGTGTTATTCAGTTGACCACTGAATAGCCCGTTTGAGAAAACAGTGAATTTTATCGTGGACGTTTCCTGCTTTGCTTGTGACTTACTGTGACCCAAACCGGCATCTTTTGAGAGATCTTCGTGGGATATTTTCCTCGTATATTGCAGAGGAACAGTAAGAAACAGTGAAGTATTCCGTAAACGTTTAGTAGTGCTTGCTGTGAGCCATCTTTTAGAGAACTTCGCGGGGTGTTTTCCTCGTACATTGCGGTATTTCCCTCGTACATTGTGAGGTATTTTTCCGTACCTTGCGGGGTGTTTTTCCCGTGGATTGCGGGGCGTTTTCCTCGTATATTGCGAGGCGTTTTCCTCGTACACTGCGAGGTGTTTTTCCTCGTTCATTGCGAGTTGTTTTTCCTACAACATTGCGAGGCGTTTCCCTCGAACATTGCGGGGTATTTTCCTCTGACATTGCGAGGCGTTTTTCCTCGTAGATTGCGGGGTGTTTGCCTCGGACATTGCGGGGTATTTTCCTCGCATATTGCGGGGTGTTTTTCTTCGTACATTGCAGGACGTTTTTCCCCGTAGATTTCGGGGTGTTTTCCTCGTACACTGTGAGGCATTTTTTTTCTCTGAGGCGTTTGCCTCGCATATTGCGGGGTGTTTGCCTCAATCGTACATCGTGGTGTGATTTCCTCATACATTGCGGGGGAACCTCATCGCAAGATGCCGAGGCCCGCGAGGACCTGGGCGGCGGTGGCGGGCTTGCTGCTGATGGTGGTGACCGGGGCCTGGGCTCAGCGATGTCCCGCAGGTAAGGCGCTGTTTTCCCTTCGCAGGGTTTGACCAAGGCAGCGATAGTACTGATGATTTGTGGGTTCATTGTTGATTTTGTGATGTAGTATGTCTCTTTGAATGTGTTTACTGTATTTTTTCTGTACCATGTACATTTGTATTGTATTGTGTCATTCTAGCTAACAGTGTTCTCCCACCGTTGAATGTTACTCTTATCATAGATAACATATTCGAAACTTTAAGGTGCATTTTCGTTGTGACATTGATATGTTGTAGTGCATGTTTCTTGCAATGGTAAGGTGAATTTTGTTGAAATTTTACGACATACAATGTTTGAGAAAATAAAATTTGGCTGCGAAGCGTTACCAGACAATAAAAGCAATGAAAAGTACAGCGGCACTGGGTGTACAAAAGGAGAAATGATGTGAATCATAAAGTTTAATTGTCCGATGGTAATGTAGAGCCTCACCACAAAAGGTGTGTCTGGCTACGCTCTAAATATTTGATGAGGCCGGCTACCGTTCTTTTGTGGCAGAACTGTAATTTTCTACGTGAAACTGTAATTTTCCACGAACTCCAGACATGTAATTAAGAAATGGGGCAACAAGTGTTCTGTGCGAGAGACTGTGCAACAGTTGTGTGCCTATTGAAGTGCATGTACTGTATCGTGCAATGTGACAATCGTAACATGAACTAGCCTGTACCAGGCTCCAGAAACGGCTGGAAATCCTGAGTACAAATTGGCCAAAGAAGCAGATAACTTGCCATAGAAGTTGGTCCGCTGAATTTGAAGGGTTGCCGTTACAAATTGGATGGCACCCAGGCTTTTTTGTCGCTTCTGAAGCCTGCTAGAGGCTAAAAACAAACCACACCTAGCACCTTCTGAAGTCTGTTGTTTGAGCTTATCCAAGAGTTGATAACTACCACATTTGAAAACAGCTAGTGTTCTCGGACCATGTTGGCATGTAGCAATACAAAAACGCCCTCTTGCGGATCTTGAATTTATACCAGCCACAGCCTGGTGCTGCAACTGTAATACTAGGCGTGGCCCTACTTTTCTAGCTATCAACGCTGCCCTTGTGCTAAAACTGCATTGTAAAGTGAGGCCCGTACATTTGTCACTGGCTCTGTCCTTGGTGCTGAAATGGACCAGCTGGCATGCCGGAGACGCCCTCTAGCGGAACTTAAATGTATACCTGCTGCTGCTTGGTATCTAAAACTGTAATACAAGGCGTGGCCCTAGTTTTCTAGCTATCAATGCTGGCCTTATGCTAGCGCTAAAACTGTATTGTAAAATGAGGCCCGTACTTTTGTCACTGTCTCTGCCCGTGGTTGCTCATTTTTAATTAAGTCCGACGTTTTTTTTTTCTGATGTACGACACATTCATGTACAAATGTGTTTTAAATTTCACATTTGTTTTCGGTGTATTTCAAATGCTTCATGTATGAAATGATGACGACAAGCAAATGCCAACATCAGACAGATTTCCTCATCCAGAATATGTCTGTTTTGCCGCCATGAAATCCGTTGGATGCCTATCCCACCGCTGCCACCAGTTGTAAAGAGCCATTCCAAACCCAAAGG